GGACATTATGGGGGAAGCATTGTAATCCATAAGCTGTACTTTGGAAATTTATATAATAAATAAAAGTTTAAAAAAATTAAATAAAATAAAGTATGGCTTTCAGCCCAGTTAAAAAAAATTATGGTTATAAATAAATGTGAAATTTGGCTCTTGTGCATCAGAAACTGAGTATACACTGGAAGAAGACATCTGCTTATACTCATCTACTCTGTTAGTGCAATTGATCTGGATCCTTCCAATTTGCAAACAGAGAGGTGGGAAGCAGAGAGAGAGGAAATATCATTAAGAAAAGTCTGTGTGGTAGTGAGTAGATCAGGAAAGGTTTACTGAACTATTTGGGATTTGAACCACTGACTCCACAATTTACCAAGCTAGTACCCCATGTGGATTTATCTAGCCATGCTACCATTCTGAGGTAGTCAAGGAAAGATAAATAGGCTCTCAATAGATAGAAAAGAGAGGAGAGCCAAGTCCTAGTTTTATTGTTAATCAAAGCATAGAAGCAGTCAAGGAAGGGTGATTAGTCTATAAATCAGTGTTGATCTTTTGCTACCCCAATAATTAGCAGTGATTGAAAATCCCTCTTGGCCGGCGCTGCCGCTCACTTGGCTGATCCTCTGCCTGCAGTGCCGGCACCCCAGGTTCTAGTCCCAGTTGGGGCGCCAGATTCTGTCCCAGTTGCTCCTCTTCCAGTCCAGCTCTCTGCTGTGGCCCGGGAGGGCAGTGGAGGATGGCCCAAGAGCTTGCGCCCTGTAGCCACATGGGAGACCAGGAGGAAGCACCTGGCTCCTGGCTTTGGATAGGCACAGCGCACCAGCCGCAGCACGCTGGCCATAGCAGCCATTTGGTGGGTGAACCAACGGAAAAGGAAGACCTTTCTCTCTGTATCTCTCTTCTGTCTAACTCTGCCTGTCAAAAAAAAATCCCTCTTAAGAAGAATCATAACTCTGGTGTGCTGGGAGCAATGAGCTGTATCTGTCATGGTCTCAAAGTAGAAAGTAGGAGACATCACCGTGACTCAGTACATTAAGCCACAACCAGCAGGACCAGTATCACATATGGTCACTAGTTCAAGTCCCATGTGTTCCACATCCAATCCAGTTCCTTGCTAATGCACCTGGGAAAAAGTAGTGAATAACAACCCAAACGCTTGGGCCCTTGCACCCATGTAGGAGACCTGGATGAAACTCTGGGTTCCTGGCTTCTGTCTGACTCAACTCCAGTCATTGCGGCCATTTGGGGAGTGAACAAGCAGATGGAAGAGTCTCTCTCTCTCTCTCTCTCTCTCTCTCTCTCTCTCCCTCTGTAATGCTGACTTTCAAATAAACAACTCTTTTTTTAAAACAAAAATGTAGTGAGTATTGGTATTAATTTTACAAAATTAGTTGGAGTCACTTCTACCATGCTGTCAAGTTGGAGAGGGCTGACCAGGTCACCTCAGCAGACAAGCCTAATAGGCAACATCCTGCTGTTGTGACCCTCATTCCAGGGTATGTCCAACCCTAGAGTGAGAAAGGACATAAGGAAACAACAAATATAAACAGGCAGTGTAAAGACTGGGAGTAAAGAGTGAAACAGGAAATTATACGCCTCTTTTCTGTCACAGTCTTTTTGCTGAATAGGCCCATTTCAGGAATACAGATTCCATGGGACTCCAAATCCCTTTGGAGTTCATCTTTAAACTAAATTCAGCATTTTATTCCTCACAAAATGATTCACCTCTAAACTTTTTATAGGCTAGATATGGACATTGTTTAAGATTATGCAAGCAGTTAATAGACACCTGGCATCTTGCATTTCTTTTGAAATGTGATATCACTAGAATGTTGATATTTAGATCAAAACTCCTATTTAATAACATCCTGCTACACATGTTAGAGAATAATACACAAAAACTTTAGAAGTTCCACACAGACCAGTGAGAGAAAAGATGCTAGTTTGGGCCTTTACTGGTTATCAGTAAAATTTCATTGATTCATTCTTAAAGAACAGTGAAAGCAA